ACGCTTTGTAAAAAGAAAAAAGAAAAACTCAATGTGATGCAGCAAGGACAGTCACGCATCATTATTTAATCACTAAACAGTCATGTGCTACTGTTAGGTCTCTCATAAAATTACAATTAATCACATTTAAATTCATGATTGTAATATGAAAAATTGTGATGAAATACAAGGGACATGAATGCTTCCTAGTTCTGACAAAAGAAGTAAAATGTTTTACAGCTAATACCTAATTTAATAGCAAAAAATTGTCATGAAATGTACGCAAAAGTAAGAAATAAAATGTTTTTCTTTTGAAGAAAGCTAAAAGCATCCCATTCTGCTCCGTGTTTTAACGGTGAAGGGTGCTGACATTTGCAGAGCATCTTGAGGAGTTCATTCACAGATCCTCTGTTCAGGCTTTTGTGTTTTCCTTTGAAGTACAGGACGGAGAATAAGAGGTTTCTTCCGCTGGCTCTAATGTGATGTGTATCCATGTGCGTCACCCACTCTCACGCTCTGAAAAGTGCCAAAAGTGAGACACCTGAGCTCTCGCTGCAAAATTGGTGTTTTTGGGGTTTTTTTTGTTTGTTTTTTATTTTTTCAGATAAGCCGTTTCCTGTTCAGAAACAGTGTGCATTTAATTGCCAACGTGAATGAACTCGCTTCACTGGAGACAAACTTGTGCAGTTAATCAGTAATCTTTGTAATCTTTGCTGCCCTTTCAGCGGTTATCAATTACAGTTATAACCCTGTGCAGGTGGATGCAGTGCGGAAAATCCCTGTTTATGCAAAACCTGGTCGAAATTTGCAAGGCAAAATCTAATTCAGCTACACAGAGTCAGAATCGGCAGGCTAATGTTTTTATTTAAACTTTAACGCTTCCTTTCTTATTTTCCGAAGTATGGTATTTTTGCTGCTTTGAAAACAAAGATCTGCAACATCCTGTCTGTGTCTGAGCAAGTAAAAAAAAAATACCTGTAGTTATTCTGGTTATGCCACAAAAGATCATACAAATAAGAAAAGCAGTGACCGGCAGGTTTTCGATTTCAAGAAAAAGAAAGTCTGAAAGCGGCAGTGTTTTGCTGAGCAGAGCTGCTGGCAGATGAGCGTTATTGATAAATGGAGCTTGTGGCTGAAGCTCATATCTGCCAGGTTTCAAAAGCCTGAGGAAAGGAAAATCTGCTCTGATGTCTTAATTTCATCCCTGCCTCCCGTCTGATTTATGCCACTGCAAAAACACAAGAATTTTTGGTCTAATGGACTATGATATTTTAACAAATATGATAGTTTTGTCTTATTTCTAGAATACTAACTTACAAATAACTTTTTAGCAAAATATGAAAGTTTGTTATAAGTCAATAATTTATAATATTGATGAAAAAGTACTAGTTCCACTGGCAGATTATTTCACTTATACTCTGTGTTGGTTTATCACTAAAAATCTCATTAGAATGTGTTGAGGATTGTGGTTATAATGTGGGAAAATGTACAAAAGTTCAAAATGTAGTAATAGTTTTGTAGAGTAGAACATAAAAGTAGAAGGTAGCAGATTGTATCAGTAATTTGTAAATTTATTAATAGCATTAATGTTGTGACAGATATGTATTCAATACTTAAAACACCAGAAACTGAATTATCTTGTTTTGCTTAGTTATGCAAGTTTTACTTGATTGGCCATTCAGACAATTTTCACTGTTAGTGTGAATACTGGTTGTAGATAATGTTCACTATAAATATATGGCACTAGCAAGCAGTAAACTTGCTAGTGCAAGCAGACAGAGACAGTGAAGTCTCTGTCTGCTCCCTGTATCAGTCATAATCTAGTCTTCTGATAAATTAGCCCGTTGACTCTGTTAAATGAAGTAAACTGTTAAAACATAGATATGCTACACAGAATATTAGCAACGCAGTTCTGTTAGCATAGGTAGCTAATATGTTGTTCTCTCTAATTTACTGTAAAGTCAACTCATCAATTCCTAAAACGACTTAGACGTTTCAGGAATAGTCGTTTATCGATGTATAAACATAACTTTGTTTCAGAAATCTGAATTCATATAATCTCGTTGCTGTCTTTGTGCCACAGTTTTGCCCGAAAGCCCCAACTTCCCCTACAGACGGTATGACCGCCTCCCTCCCATCAGCCAGTTCTCCATCGAGAGCGACTCGGACCTGTCAGAGACGGCCGAGCTCATCGAGGAGTACGAGGTGTTCGACCCGTCCAGGCCGCGACCCAAAGTCATCCTCGTCATCGGTAAGGGAGCGCTGCCAAAACGCCAACATTCACAGCGTGTTTTCCGTCAGATGAGAAGCAGAAAAGGTGTGTGAGTGTGTGTTGCGTCACAAACGGTCATGGGCGGAAAACCCGGAGACGTCGGAAAATATCTTGGAAAAGTCTAGAATTGTCCCCACAAAGAAATCATAAAAGAAACATTTGAATCTAAACAACATCAATATGAAAAGGCGAAAGAAACAAAGAGCTAAATGAATCCGCCATTCATCAAAGAAAACAAATAAGAATATTTTTTAGGCCCCCCCGCCATCTCTGAAGGAATGGTTCAGTCCAACGTGTAGGAGGAGCAACAGCAGCTGAAGGTGGAGCTAGCTGTGGCTAGGCAGTACAAACACTCTTCAGTAAGGAAAAACTTAAAGCAAAAGACGTGTAACACATTTTATTTACTCTCACTGCTCAACAGGAAGAAACACATTAACAATAAAAATCAGACTGCAGTTCGTTATTTCATTACTTCGGCTGAATCATGATAAACTGCCTTGGAAATCAAAACAAGCATAACTGGTTACATTGCTCTGATAGACTTGAGCTTTTTTGTCAAAGGTAGGAAATATTTGAATCATATTTAGCCCTTTAACTGATATTAATGAGAAGAGTTTGAAACGGGAGGGAGCAGAGGAGAGAAAGAGCAGATAGAAAAACAGAAAATTATGCCTTTATTTCTTACAATCAGTGTAGAGCCTTTATATGGGGTTCCATTTGTGTCAAAAAATAAGTAGAAAAACATGAGGATATTTTTCAATAAAAGCCCTGGTGCTTTAAGTGTTAAGTTTAAGTTATGGTACTTCCCAGATATTTGTTATTTCTATAGGTTCTTAGGCATCCAGGACATGGAAAAATCTATATTTATGAGGAATTTTATTAAATGGAGTTACTCATTAAAACTTGTTTTTATTTAAAGCCTTAAGTGTTTGTAAAGGTGTAGCAGAGATTAGATCAGTGACACTGAACCAAACCAAATATCAAAACATTTCAATATGAGTTTGACTTCTACAATTCTCAAAAATTTGTTTACTGACAAAAACACATGTTTGATGTGCATTACCACTTGATAGTCATTTTTGGTCCTGCAGCTTTAACACATCAAAAAACTTTTTAATCCACCTTTTACATGATGTTTCACTATAACTTTGCCAAGCCCCCCAAAGTTGATCTTAAGAAATTCCCCTGTTCATGGTCCCCCCACCGATAATGAGATAGGATTTTCTCCCTTGCAAACGATGCTCAGTGCTTTCATATTAAAGGATTTAGAAATGCAAAGATGCTGAAGTAGAACTTTGTGGTCTGGATAGGAATCTAAGTCCATTTCCTGGTATCCGAGCTCTCTACGTTTGTATCATCAGAGTTGATCTTGCTTCATGTTCCTCAGTGTGTTTGACACTCCTAATCTGATTTCCTTGGCGTGCCTGCTTTAAGCTGTCAAATAATCTCATTTATCTTGTTAATCATTTCCACAACAACCTACCTTAGCTCAAACGCAGCCTCAAGTCGGTTTATAAAAAATCAAGAAGAAGCAAGAAAACAACTTCGGTCTCTTCTTGAAGCTCTTTTTTTTGAATGGCTCCCTGTGGAGCGGCTGATGGGTGTTTGTCCTCGCAGCACAAAGCCAGTCCCTGTCCGTCGCTTTAAGAGCATGCTGTGCCCCGGTTTTGAAGGGAAAAGCAGCATGGCAGCTGCTGCCACCTCTGCAGAAGATCATGTGAATGTTTTGTGTGTCAGGTTTTGCAGAAAGCTGTTAGCTGTGAGGAGGATGTTAGGATGTGAAGAAGAATTACAAAATGCAAATACAAAGGACCTGTCACAATGACAAATTACCCCAGACGTTACTGCAAAAAATCATAATATTGTTGTTTTGAGACCATTTGCAAGTAGTGAAATGGTAATAATGCAAGAACACGATGTCAAAGATCAACAAACTTTAAGTGGAAGACATCTTACATATCCAAAATAAATAATCAAAACAAATCAAATGGATACTGAAGTCCCGGTAAACATAATTTTCCTGAAGCTTTGTGTCATGTGGTCATAATGACCGCATTGTGACCGCATGACACAATGCGGTAGAAAGAGACACGAGGAAATCAAACAATCATGCAAATGGAAATTAATAGTTTTAATTTATCTCGCTGTTATTTATTGCTTTTTGTGGCTTTCAAACAGACTTTGATTTTCCTACCAACTATAAACAAAACATGCTTGTCTGAATCCCTAAGAGGAAAAATAAAAATAAATACCTTCACAGTCCAGACTCTTGTGAAATTCACAAAATTATCAGATCAACAACATTTTCTGCCATTTTTATTAGTAAAAATGTGCAAAAACACTTAAAGTAAATCCATCTTTTATTTTAAAAACTCTCACTGAAAAAAGACAAACAATAGAAATTTAATCTGAACACAATTCATGTTCCTGTTGAATATTTGCTTTTGCAGAGAGAAGATCTTTTATCATTCATCTCTGAACAATCTCTTTAGACCAAGGGTGTTCAAAGGAGGGCCTGGGGGCCATTTACGGCCCCTGCACTCATTTTGTGCGGCCCGTTCAAACACAATCCATGGAACCTAATCATCTGAATTTTATTTTATTTATGACACACTATAGTCTCAACCTGGAAAAACTCTAGCAGAGATTTCCAGAAACATGGAAATGAAGCAAAACTCTGAAAAAAGAGCATTCAGGTTTCCACAAGGTTTCCCTCGGCATGTAAAATTATCTTACTCAAGTTTCCGTTTTTCTTCATCAACCTTCAGGCAGTTTTACTCAAATGATCAACTTCATAAAGGTCTATCACTGTTTGTTTTGCTGGAATATAATCATTTTATGTTTGCAATTCTGCTTTAGGTTGATAAGAAAATGTTGACACCATTAATCCAAAGATATTCGGTGAGAAAATATGATTTCTTACCAAATGTAGGAGGTTCACACGTACCTGTTTCTTTATGTCCTCCTCCTCCACAAACACACACTTACACACACAGGCCTGATTTCTCTCACCAACACACACTCACCCACACACACACGACAACAAACCTCCCCAAAAACATCAACAGCTCTCTCTCTCTCTCCCTCTGTACTCAGGTGGCCCTGGCAGCGGCAAAGGAACACAGAGCCTGAAAATCGCCGAGCGCTACGGCTTCCAGTACATGTCTGTGGGCGAGCTGCTGAGGAAGAAGATGATCCACAACGCCACCAGCAACAGAAAGTGGAGCCTGATCGCCAAAATCATCACCAACGGCGAGCTGGCGCCGCAGGTAGCCGAGAAACGGGGACAGAGACGTGTTGGCGGGGGGGCGGGTGAGATGGACTAAATATTTTGGGAGAAATAAGCGGCATGTCCAGACACTCGGGTCAGGTTGTTATCACAGCATGAATGCAACGAGGAACTAATTGGCAGAAGGCGCATGACAAGCATGCTGGGGAGAGAGGATGCTTATCTGTCTTATTAGCATCCATCTTTCTAAGGTAATTACTCCGCTTGGAAGAAAATGAGCGCTGACCCCCTCCCGTGGCTGTTTACGCTTTACTCTTTCTAACAGAGTACCTAGCATAATTACAACACAATAACATATCCCCAGTTCAGCGTCTGACATTAACTGGCTTCACCTCAGAGGTTTTTTGTTCTCTACCTGTTATTAAAAACCAACTCAGAGCGACATCTCAAACAACAGAGAGCAGGAACCTTTGATAAAAACAGCTGCAGCCAAGATTAAACCGGCAAATGCTCAGCAAAACTGACAGGCAGCACAAGAGACATTTTCTTTATGCTCTAAAGTCTAGTTTTTGGTTTGGAAACTCTTTTTAGATTTCAGTTCATCCTTAAAGCTGCAGTATGGAATTTTTACAAAAATGTTTTTTTGTTAAAACTGCAACCATGTTGTGACAGAATAATATGAGACAGATAAAAAAAATACATCTATTCCAACTGCTAATGCAGTCTAAAGTAATGCACAGCTCCCGGTCAAAAACAGCCAATCAGAGCCAGGAGGTTGGTCTTAGTGCTGTCAATCAACATCACGTTCTTGCTGCTAAATGTGCTAATGGTTGAGAAACAACTTACCGTTACAGGAAAACCATTTTTCAGTGGCTATGCTAGCTTGAGCATTCACAACAAGATATGCTATCAGGAAGAAGCTCTACCATAACAGAGAGAAACACAGGGGGGTGATTGACAGCGCTAAGACCCGCCCCCTGGCTCTGATTAGTTGTTTCTAGTTAGCACAGGGAGAAAGCAGAGGAGTTCAGTTTTTTTCAAAGATTATCTATCTCATACTGTACTTTCACAATAAAGTGACAATTTCAACAAATATGGGAAAAATATATATATATTTATGTTGAAAAAAGTTACATACTGCTGCTCTAAGCTGTCAGACAACTTAAATCCTCACAAGTGGAGTGAAAACTGTGGATAAAACAGCATAGATCACATCAGCAGTTTGACAGTATTTCAGACATTTAAAACAAAAAAAATAATCAGTTATTGATCTCAACTGAAGTGAAATGCTTACATTGTTTTTCAGCCCTAGGTAATACTGAAAACCATCTGAGTGATAAATCGTGTTTGCTCTTATTGTAAAATATTCTACTCCATATATTATAATACCAAACAGGTGGAGTAACTCCACTCATTTTTATTGAAAACATCTCCAGAGGAAGGTTTTTACGACTTTGTGATGTGTTGCCGTCGCTGCAAGGCCGTGACACAGACATAAGCCTTGGACCTTGTCATAAAGAGCCCGTTTTAGCTTGATGGTTCTCATGAATTATCCGCACTAACCGCCTTACTCATCGTTCATCTTCCTTCTCCTGACATGTCTGAGACGTTAGTCGGTTCAGTCGAGATGAGGCAAACAGCAAAGTGGGCCAACCAGCGATCATAAATCAAAAAGTGGCTGCTTGGCGTCGAGTCATACTGTAAGTCTTGGTTTATTTATGAATTAAATTACGAAGCTGCGGCTTTAGTTATTCCTACATTGTTTCTTGTTGTTGCATAAGGAGTTAGCTAAGATTTGAGTGTGCCTTGTATGAAGAAAAATCCACATTTTCTCAGATTACCTCCAGAAATTTCTGCATTATTTGCTTTTTATCTGACAGACCAGCAGAAAAATGTGCTTGCTGGTGAAGTAAACAGAAAATTGAGACACAGATTTCTAATTTTGTTTTGCAGAAATCAGTGAAGTGTGTTGTGCATCTGTTTTCAAACCTATTTACTCCAGTAAGTCTAGATAAAACCCAGTGCAACTAATTAGTTAGTGGAGTCCATCTGTGTGTAGTTTATTCTCAGTATAAATCCAGCTGTTCTGAAAACACCATAGATGTTTTTTAAATGGTTTTTTGCTGAGCAACAGACAGGTCAGAGATGAAGTTATGGGGAAATTTTATTAAACAGAAGCTGTTTAATAAAAACAAAACAAAAACAAAGTGCTTATAAAGCAAGATGGCCGCCCTGGGCGTGATGAAACCCCCCCCCCAAAACATCCAGATTTTCCAAAAATTAAATCTTTACAAACTAAAACCTAAATGAATCAATAAAATCGATTTAATACCCAGCCCTACAGCCTGAACACAAAATTTCTACTCTGAATATGTGGTGGCAGCATCATGCTGCACAGTTAAAACAAACAAACAAAAACATAATTTTTACGGTAAAACACCATCAGCTCTAGTTGCCAGAATCCACCATAAAACTCCAGGTAAAACTGTTTTTTCCTTAACAGTTAAATGTCTTTCTTGTTGTTAATTTGACGATGAAAAATGGTGCTGGAGTCAATATTTTACCACAATAGAAAATGTTTTAAATGTGTTTATCCATAAATAAACATGAAAACAACCTATAAAATTAATGTACAAATGTAAAATATGCAAATTATTGTTTTCACTGATTAGTTTACCGGTACATCAGATCAACAGTTTTAAATAATTTATAGTTCATAGATTTTTCCTGTCACAGTTTTACTGTTAATTACCGTTGAATTACAGATATTTTTGTGGAAATGCGTCAAGATGCTCAAGCTTTACTGAGATTGAGTTATTTTACAAAGATGATTAATGAAAATGTCCTGAAAGGCTTGGAGTTGTTTTTCTAAACAGTGTTGACTAAGGAGGGATGAACGCAAATGAACTTTCCAGATTTTTATTTCTAAATTCTTGGAAAACCATGAATGTTTGTGGTCATAAATGTGAAAAGAGGCGACTTCTACAAGGCACTATTCAGGATCGATTGGAAAAAACTTGAGTTATGTTCATCACATAAACACATTTTTCTAAATGTGATTAGAGCTGTAATAGCGCTGAAGTTGCAAATGATCCAATAAGGCTGAAAGCTCAGATGAAGCAGCACTTCACTCAGCCAGAAGCTGTTTGTCTCTGAACCTTTTTCTCTTACAAATCCCAGCTGTCCTCTGAAAGGAAGCTCTTGGACTGTCGACAGCCAGCTCTAAAATTAAACACAGAAAGCACAATTGCTTTTATTCTCTTAGTCTCTGAAGTATCTGCATCTTCAGCAGAGAACAGGGCAGTTTTAGAACCAGCAGCGCATTATTCTGAGGAGTCGCTTCTCCTCACTCTTCCAGTCTCTCTCAATGAAACCATCTTGATCTTTAGATTAGTTTGAATCCCTGCATGGATGGATGGCAGCTCCCATTCGGAAACTAAACGCCTCGGTTAGTTGGGTTATTTTTAGAGCAGAGCATTGCATCATGCATCTCTGCCATACTGCAAATTACTTTCTGCCCAGAGAGATGCGTTCAAACATGTTGACCTCCTCCAGCCATGGGGAAGTAAGTGATGCTAAGAGAAGTTGACGTCCTCTGGCTTCAGGAGGTCGTCGCTCTGCCGCAGTTACAGCCATTAAAGAAACCATTAGATAAAGATGAAGACATCAGTGGAAAATGCGCAGCTTCAGTCACCTGTTGTCACTTTACTACAACAAACTTTACTGGTTTTCATCAATTAAGTTCATTTGTATAGCACATTTCAGCAACAACTGTCAAGTGCCATCGCTACACATCAAAATGTTGATTGTTTTATTTATAATGAATCAAAAGCGACTCTAAACTTTTTAGTCTACATTTAAAGAATCTCGGTTTTTCAGCTGTTTTGGAGGTTTTTTTAAAGTTTGTTCCAGATTTATGGTGCATATAAGCTGAATGCTGCTTTACCATGTGTGGTTCTGGGGATGCAGAGGAGAACCAGAACCAGAAGACTTGAGAGGTCTGGAAGGTTGCTATGACGACAGCAGATCTTTAATGGATTGTGGTGCTAAGCCGTTAAGTGATTTATAACGGTGCGTTCACACCAGACGCGTTACGCGCGTCAGAAACACCTCAGACGCTTCAAGTTTGATGAGTGTGCACTTTTGGTGCATCCACACACCAAACGCATTTTGAGTGTCAGACGCGCCTGGTTTACGTTCAAAGCTTATGTGGAGCGTCGGACGCATTGGACGCGCTCGACATGTCAAATGCTCAAAACGCTCCAAACGGTTCAAATCGCGCCGCGCTAGACACTCGAAATGAGCTGCAACTGACCGTCGACACGCCTCCACACAGACTATGAAAGGTAACCAGACGCTCGAAACGTGTTTAGTGTGAACGCACCAAAAACTAACAACAGCATTTTAAATTCTACTCTCTGAATCTGAATATTTTTTAAGCACTGTAAATTATTATTTCTTTATAATCTGTTGCTGAAATGGTTCTCTCTAAGGAAAACACCTGCCCTCTCGGTTGTTTTGTATTGATCCAGAAATTAATGACCGCCCTGCAGATATGGCAGAATCTCTTTTATCGCTTTTTATTAAAAATAAAAAAACATCAACAGCTTAGGCACTGGATGAAGGCACTCATGAATCATGTTGCTTTTGTTATTTCTTTCAGGAAACCACAATAACTGAGATCAAACAGAAGATTATGAAGATCCCAGACGCCAACGGCATCGTCATAGACGGCTTCCCGCGAGACGTTGGACAGGCCCTGTCCTTTGAAGACCAGGTGAGTCTCTGTTATTGGACCCATCTGTCCTCGTCTGTCTCTAGGATGATATTCCCACGTTTACTTTTCAATCACTTGCAAGGAAAAATCATCACTGCAGGGTTGTTATCACACATGGATTTCATGGAAGCCGTCTTGCTCTCGACTACAAGACAACATGTTGCTGTGGAAACGTTCAGAAATAACCAGAAAGTCGTACTTGTAAACATGAGCTGTAAGCTTAATAAAATATGCAAATGAGGCAGTCCCAGTCCAGCTTTCTGGCTCAGATGTGAGGACGGCATCATCAGCTGCTCTGTGGGTTGTGTAACCCCACAGGTTATTTAATGCGTTTGATATCAGGAGCTGAGCAACATCACAGCGTCACTGTAAAGGCATTTAGACGCTTTGATATCCACGCAGAAATGCCAATGAAGGTACTTTACAAGTTTAAAGGGGAACAACGGTTCAAAATTCACATTTTGCACGTTTTTTGGGTCTCAACTGTTTTTAAATACAAACAAACATCCAGCCGTTTCTTGGCAGTAAGTTAATGTCTTTTGGTGTCTATTTCAAAAACCTTCTGAATGTAACAAATCAGCAGTTGCTGCCCTTCACCTAGCAACCCCAGCGAAGGCTAGCCGGTTACCTGGCAACCCAAGCAGAGATCCAACACATTTGGTCAGCTGGTTTTTAGGTATTTATTTAGGTTTTCACATTATATCCAAAAATAAAAAATAAAAAATTGCAATTCCAACCAGGAAGAAGGAAGAAAAAAAAAATCCTACCCAACGAGCAACCAACATCCCTGTAAATACTGCCAATTAAAAGGTATGTAGCAAAAAAAAAAAAAAAAAAAAAAAAAAAAAAAAAATTAAGACCATATAAAAACCAATGTCGAGATTTATGGAACCACTACTCAGCCAATAGTTCAAGGGTCTTCTTGTCAGCTTGTTTTTAATTCAACTCAAAAATACTTAACCAAATGAAATTAAATAATTTTACCGTGCTATGCATTGTACAATGGCTGCTGGAAAAGACAAGCATTTTCTTGTTGCTTTACCATCCAGAAATCACTTGCTTCATTCTTGTTGCTTTTCAAAGATGTACAGTTGTATAACTGTGTATATGTTTGCAGCCATTTTCACGTGCGAGTGTAAACATTGAGTCTATGCTCTGCAGTGGTCTGTAGTAGTTTAATTGAATTTAAAGGTCCTAAAACAGCTCATTCTGAAAGGAGCTCAAAAGGAGGTCAGACTAACATTTCATTATCTAAATTTGATTTTGTGTAAAAAATGTACTGAACATGTTCTTATAAACGATAGTCCTATTCTAACATGTTCAAAGACACTTCATAGGTTACAGCTAAAGCCTGTGAGAGTTAAATGATGCATGTGTCAAAAAGTGCATCTGGAGAATTTCTCATAGTTTTTAATGTATATATTTTGGTTACGATACTTGGATTATTTTTGGGAAAGTTTTTGTATAAACTCTTTTAGTTACACAACATTGGCAAAATGGTCTGAAAAGTCGACCATATCCAGCAGCTAAATTATTAGAGGCTGCTACTTACCTTTGAGCAAAGTTAAAGTTACGCCAGCTGATAAAAAAATGTTCTGCTGAACTAAGAATCAAATGGGGACTTTTTAAAAATCAGTTTGACAACTTGTCTTAACCATTAGCACCATTTTCTCAGGTATATAAAGTTTATAAAGGCGTAGAAACTGGAGCAGAGGGTATTGATCCTGAGTTGAAATCCTTGGATTTGAGACCAGCATGTTTTCTCCCCTTCTCTCTTTGCCTGTTTCCTGTCTGACTGCTCTCAGTAACGGCCCTGAGCACCACAAAGATAAAAAAAACAAAAAACACTTTCCTGGCGCTGTAGATAAAGTTCTGCTTGGCTGAGTAAACAGAAAAATCACATTTTCATTTCAGAAATCTCTTATTTGATAAGTGACAGCTCTGATTTACAGGGGAATCATTTAAGTGCTTTAATTTTTGATCCAGTGTTTATTTTTGTTGCTGAGAAACAGGGCACATTTCTGAGAAGGACAACATCCAAATAGTTAATTTGTTTGGGTTTATCTGTCTGTGGCATCAAATTGAGATGTATTTTTCTCCTGTGCAACCTGGAGTTTCATTTATTTATGTGTGAAGTGTGTCGTGCCTTCATCACCACTTTGGCTGTTTCATCACTGCGTGTGCGTCACGTCCCTTATCAGCGCTGGCATGAGTTCACACCAATCCCACTCATTGTGGCAGCAGAGGTAACATATCACCATGTTACCTCTGCTGCTGCTGCTTTCTTATCCTCTTACCAAACTGTCCAATAATTATCAGCTAATGAACAGGTATTCATTTAGCCTTTTCAAGTATCTGACCAGTTATAATCCAAGAGCACACATTTTCAGTCTGAAATCAGGATTTCATGTCTTTCTTCTCAAATCTTGTAATGCTTGTACTCAAAACTTCTCCTCGTGCTCAGACATAGACTCTGCTCAGACTCTCTGCTCACTTACAAAACCTTCTCTGCTTGCTTCTGGAACAAAAATGCACTGTCGCCTGGCAACCTCTCAGCCAATAGAATGAAAGTGCTGTACTGGGTGCATTCGTTTCCTTCTAGCGGGTATGCCTGTGTGGCTACTATCGATTGTAGCAACCTGCGCTAGTCACTGGATGTAGGGAGAAGCTTTGACGTCAG